CAGTAAATTAAAAATTATTTAACCTTATTAACTCATATCTGGACTTTCTTATTTTAAATATTATTTTAGGAATTTACATTGCTGAGAGCGTACTTGGTTATCGTGGAACTAATATAATTTATATCAAAATGGATAAATAACGGCCTAAGTACAAAGGTATGCCGAAATTATTGCTGTGTCGGTGGGATTTTTTTTTAGAGTTTGCAGTCTGTGAACCTGTTGGCGGAGGATTTTAAAAAGAGATCGCAGATATGCATCATGAACTATAGATGAACTATAGATGTTCAGTGCTGATTTTGTATTGCGTTAAATTATTATAGGATTGCTTATATATATATATATATATATATATATATATATATATATATATATATATATATATATATATATATATATATATATAATCATAATAAAATTATATATAATTTTATTATGATAATTTATTGTATTGATTTATATTATTATATTTATATATATTTTTTAAAGAGCCGTGGTAGCTCAGATGGTTAGTGCTCGCTACGCTACTTTCACAGTACGCGAGCAAACCGGGTTCGATCCCCGCCGGCACCAATGAAATTGTTAATTGCAATTTTAAGTGCCGAATTACCACGTGTTCGGTGGTGAAGGAAAACATCGTGAGGAAACCTGCATGTCAGAGAAATAAGAAAAAAAATATTTCGAAACTTTCCCTAAAACCCTCTCATAAATGAGCGGGAGGCCTGTGCCCAGCAGTGGGACGTATATAGGCTGTAACTTTTTGTATAATTTTCCTAAATAAACGTGTTGATTTTGATCCTGACTGTTTATCATAAGATTGTGCCTCCATTGTAGGAACGATTATTAACTTGTTATTTTGAATTAAGGTGGTGATTGACAGTTTACTGATAGTGTAAGAATATCCACTGCAACGTATCATCCCATAGGTAATATACCAGGCGACAGAGGAAAACAAACCAGGAGATGGGCAGCAAGGTCTATCTTATAACATAAACTGCGATTTCAAACACGCCTGCCAAGCGTGGCAGCTATGATAAATATCCCTCGTATAACACAATCTATAGGGGAGCCCTATGTACAGCAATAGACTTATAATGTGCTAATGTTAATGGCTAGTGGTAATGGTAAATTGGTGATATATGATACGAGACGCTATCTGGGGGCACGACAGTGCCCCCTCCAAGTCGAGCAAAAAAGCGGCACGGCGGTACCATACTTTTCTCGAAGCAGTTCAGGCCATTTTCGATCGTTGTGAATAAAACTAGGAACCTGACCAAACACACATTGTATAAACATGGTATATTTCAAATTTTATACATTTTGAACCAGTAGTTAAATAATTACAACTAGTTAAACTTTCTTAATTTTGTCACTCACTGACTGACCAATCATCAAAACTCTAAGGCACTTCTAGCAGACATAAAAGCATCAAATTTAGAATACAATTAGTTTTTAGTGTATAAATCAAGGAAAAACTAAAATATTTTTAAATTTCCGTCCAGATTTCTAGATACATCAACTGCATAAATAACTTTGTAGTTCCATATAAATATATAGGATTACAAAGTTACATTTGCAGTAAATGAATCAGTGTACCTGTAATATGTATAATAGGTGTAGATAGGTATAGTGTAGATAGGTATGTTGTTGGTATTCAAGAAGTTGAAGGCACCAGAAAGGAAAAAAGTAAGACTATCTATAAAAAGAAATGAGATGCCATCAAAAACATAACTTGTAAAAAAACCAAGTCTCGCAACTCAGTTCTTCTAAAGTAAAAATTTGTGAGAACCTTGTAATACCAAGTCGGTTAATTTATTCAGTCCCTACTTAAGGTTCCTCTTGTTATAAGTTATTCCGTAATTACATAACCTAACAACATCTTATAGTGACCATATCAATGTAAAAAATCTTTTATATTTTAAATAAATAGATTGACTGGGCAATCGTACTAAACAATCTAATTACTTGTGAGATAAATTGTATTTTCATGCGATGGCCAAGACAATCTATTATCTCTCTCACAAATTTTTACAGTAGAAGAACTGAGTTGCGAGACTTGTTTTTTTTTTACAAGTTATGTTTTTGATGGCATTTATCTTAATGTTTAGGTAACTGTTACTTTCCTAAAGACTCCCTCGAGTCACAACGCGCCTTGTCCGTGATAATGTATATGTTAAGTTATTATAATCCACAACAAGAATAAGAATATTAAGAATAACACAATGGAAAACTTTAAAAATGAATTCAGTTTTCTGGACTATGAGAATAAACAAAGAAATAAAGGCTCTTATTACTAGGTTATGCTAAATATTTTCCCCACTTTTGTTTCACCTATGTGTAAAAAAGACACCATACTCTCAGGTGAAGTCATAGTCAAGCAATTTATATGTAATATAATAATAATCTATACATAAACAAATAAAATTGAAGTGCCTGTATATAACATTGTAATAACTGGCTTCTATTGAGATCATGGGGTCATTTGCATGCTATTAAGATAAAAATTATCATTTTTTTAATGAACAGTTTGAGATGAAACCTTACGAACAGAGAGAGTGAGCAATTCCAGCATGGATCTAGCGTATATTTTATCTCACGTAAAATTGATAAAATAAATGGTCATTGATTATATACAGTCTAAATAGCGCAACATTAAGAAATTATTTCCAGGCAAATCTGGGGCGCGCGAATTATAATAAAAACTCTTGCCATGTGGTGGCCGTGCACGTGAATCCATCACGCTATTTCGTCTCGCGGTTGCTGTGAGCTACCATATGATATTCCAAAAATATTTCATTGCTAAAAAATACGCAAACGGGATGTTTTGTCAAACCTATATAGGAGGGCTATGTTTGGTAAAGGACTTTTGACAAGCTCAAATGAATAAATTACTGAAGGCATTATTTTAACAATTTGGAGCAATGTTTTTGTATTAAGTTTCAACTGCTCTAAATATTTAAATGACAATTTTTTGCTCTCCAAGACTTTCTACATAGTTGTTATCCTCGAAAATACATTATTTTTGAATCTTAAAACTTGCTTGCCCGAATACTAAATATACAATATGTGGTTTCATATAATGTAATCCATGTTAATATAATTCCATTGATATGATATGTATACGTGACATAGAACTTAATTAAAGTTTCTACTTAAACAATTAACAAATATGTATATCACCTTCGAGCTTACTAACGTCATCAAACGTTCTCACGCAAGCAAACATCGCTTAATTACTTCACCTGCGATTTCGGTTACTTTAACAAAACGAAATCATTGAGATGAAACATTACAGTTTGTTTATACAATTAATTAATAATTGTTGTTTTAACATCGCTTAATACCAAATGTTGAAAATATCACAATAGCTCTTACGTTACATCTCTTACATACAGAATCTTTTTTAAAGTATTTAGAGTTATACTCTATTGCCTACTTGCCACGTGTTAGCGGCGTGAGGTAATCCATTAATCCATTTCGTATAGTGACGTCGTAAGTTGTCTCTATGGAAAATGCCAGAAGGGTCTTTTGTATTTCTACAAATGGCGGTAAAATCATTCGTACACGCCATTGAGTTATATGTACTACGTATTAGACAAGCTATTCCAAAAAAAAATGTGCACTACTCTGTATCCGCGCATGCGCGGGAAACAGTATTCGCGCGTGCGCAGTTGATATAAACGCCATAATAAATAATTGTTTATTATATTTTTAATTTTCGTTTATTTTGCATATGTGCTAATTTAATATAAAATTATTATTATGCTGCGGCTACACTAACGAGCAACGTCAATGCCCATAAACGCAACAATTATTGCCTTAAATTTAACGCGATAAAATGAGTGGCTACACTTGAACGGTCAACGCCGTTTCCCGTTGAACGGCATTAAATTTGCAGTTGAACGGCGTTAAATTTGCCGTTGTTAAATGTTTCGACCGGGGAAGGACCACGCTCTAACAGAATACCAGCGTAAAATAGTAGCTTAATGCTGCTGTGTTTCGTATGGTGAGTGTAGAGAACCGGAGACTCTTTTTACTGGAAACGAGGCATTCCATCCTAGTCCTCACGGGTGACAACGCATCTGCATTTTGATTCGTAATCGATAGATGTAGATGTCTATGGACTACAGCGTCCACATACCATCAGGTGGACTGTGTGCTTGTTTCTCATCCTATCCTATAAAATAAAAAATAAACAAAGAAAAAATGAATACAAAGAAAAAGAAGATGGTGGATGCTACAAAAGCACAGGAAACGTACACTGTAAATCTATTTATGTTTTATTTTGTTTTCCCGCACCCAAAATGCACTAGAAAGATGTCCAATGGTTTAAGCTAAATAATAAGACAAACGTAAATATATTTTAATGAAGTAATAACTAATAAGTCAATCATTAATACTGGTCAAGTGCGAATTAGATACACGTACTCAGGGTTTCGTACCACTGTACACTATGAATTTTGACCTGCAAAAATTGTTTTTTTCTCCCGCTTATTTTTCTTAGTATCATACCGTAAATTAAAGTACTTTTGAAGTAATTTTTTTTTAATTCAATCTCAAAAAGCTTTTTCATTACTCCACTCCATCGCAGCCATACGTGCAACCCCGTGGCACTCACCATGCACAATGAGACAAACGTAGTGTGGCCGCTTCAACCGCTTCAACGCGATAATTCGCGCGTTAATCCTTTGATGTACCGCCACTTGAGTTATCGGCAAACTGGAAACGGCATTGTTAATGCCGTTGAAAATTATCGCGTTAATTCGTGGCCACACCTACATTCAACGTCCATCAACGCGATAATTAACGGCATTTCTCCTTAGTGTGGCCGGGCCATTAGCGCCGCTCCGCACTGCATGAATATCGAAATCGAAGCCACAGTTCAGTTGAACATAGTGAGTGTTCGGAATGCCAAATTCAGTGGGCAGTACATATATTATATCGATGGTACACGCACGCTGTGTGAGGAAAACCCTTATCACAAGTGGCGGAGGGCGGAGTTAATGGTAACATCTGGTATTTCAGTTATTGGTAGAGTTGATGACGCCACCAATAACAGCCTCTCCGTCTGTTCTATCAAGTGTGGCGATTATAGCAAACTCTCTCTACTAACGACAGAATAGCTCTGTATTCTTACCAGGTATAATAATTAAATAATTCATGTAAGGTATAATAAACAATTGAATTGGTAGGTTCGATTTGTTTTTGATTGAATAGGTAGGCTTTAAAGGTAAAACTTAATGCACGACAAAAGCAGTATTGTCACGAATAACACATATCAAAACATAAAACAGTAATAGATTTTTGTTGTTCTATTTTTATAATTTATCATAATTTTTATTAAAAAAACGATTGATGGCTACAATCCTACCTGAAGGGTTATGGTCCTGCACACTAAATCATACTGGCTGATAAAAATACTAACTAAAATATCCAGAAGTTGTAAGATGTAAATATTTATACGAGGGACAGTAAGTACCTTCAGAGAATTCCGACCCCTGATACTGACCATATTGCATCATATCCGAGAGTGAATCGTTTACATGTTCTGAGAAAAACGTGACATGTAAAGGTCACAGTAAACAAGCTTAATTAAACGACAACAAAAAGAAACTACGACAAACACTGCAACAAGTAACACGCATACATTGGGTGCGTTTGGCAGAAAAAAGCGCTAGCAAGCGCTTACAAGCGCTAAAATAGTTTTCGGCCAGGACACGATTGCTACTTCAGTAGCGCTGACACAATCCGCCATTTTGCTTATTTAATTTGTTTGTTTTGAAGTAGAGTTTATTAAGTTGTTTTGTGCAATATTAGTTTTAAGTAATATATTGACATGAATAAACATATACATTTTATTAAAAATTCATGATCTGTAAGTTTTTAATATGAATACTTTACAAATATATATTTAAATTAGGTTAGGTTCCGCGGTTAAAACTAACATCGTGTCCTGGAGGAAAATAGCTACTTACGATTTGACAGCGCTTACCGCTTACGATCGCCATTTTGCTTACAAGCGCTTGCTAGCGCTTTTTTCTGCCAAACGCAGCCATTATATGTGAAGTTTATGTCATTAGATTTATACATATGCAAATATTATTAAATATGACAGAACTATCAACGAATAGTCACAAACGCGAACCGATTATTAAAATAAAAATAGTGTACATTTGCTTGATAACTTGATATAAATAATGCGATTGATTCAAATGGCGTAGCAGCACGCCATGCAATAACTATGGTTAATCAACTTATCATTTTAATGTATTCGGTGTGTTATTCAAATGTTTAAAAGAGTATTTTATTATGTTCCTTCATAAAAATAATTTATAATTAAATATCACTATATTTCTAATTATTTATATCAGCTTCGGCCAAGGTCTCATAATTTTATTTACATAACATTAAAATATACATGCATATATTTTTTCCACAAAATAAGGGTGACAAACGAGCACACAGTCTACCTGATGGTAAGTGGATGCTGTGGCCCATGACATCTACATTTATTCTCGATTAAGAATCAAAACGCAGATGCTTTGTCACCCCAGAGGACTAAGATGGAAAAAGGTCTCCGGATCTCTACACTCACCATACGAAACACAGAACTATCAAACTGCTATTTTACGCTGGTATTCCGTGAGAGCATGACCCTTCTTCGGCCAAGCCGACCCATTCGTGCTACAACTATAATATAGCTGCGGCTTGGCTCTACAACGTATGAAAATACATACCTGAGTTATGAATTTTTATTAATGTTCATAATTCAGGTGCGTTTCGTTAATTATTGACGACAACCGAAAATTTTAACTGGTAAAAGGCACTACATCATAGCCGTCAAGGTCAGGGGTGATAAGGCATCTGCATTAGATAATAGTCTATCTGATGTTAATTGGCTATTGCCCGTAATACCTACACCTACTTTCATTGTCTGCAATCAACTTTTCGAGGACTCATCTGCTGTTTGGAGACTATGCTGAAGATTATAGTTAAACATGGGCGTCTTTCGTAGAAGGAATGTTATTCCGCAATCGCCACGATGCGATGGGCAGGTTAGTGACCGCAGCAATAGAACGTTTTGCTCGTTGAAAATGCGGTTTATGTATTTTAATAATGATTCCTTATATTTACGCGAACACTACACGTGGTTTTCAACGTAGTGTTCAAAGTACCATGTTGTCACAGAATACCAGCGTCAAATAGTAGCTTAATGCTGCTGTGTTTCGTATGGTGAGTGTAGAGAACCGGAGACCCTTTTTACTGGAAACGAGGCATTCCATCTTAGTCCTCACGGGTTACAACGCATCTGCATTTTGATTCGTAATCGAGGATAGATGTAGATGTCTATGGGCCACAGCAACCACTTACTATCAGGTGGACTGTGTGCTCGTTTGTCACCCTATCCTATAAAAAAACACATTTAAACAATGTATTTTAGGAGAATGGGATTTTTGGGCCCGAAGTTAACAAATGGTATATACTTCAAAAAATTGTTTATATTTTTCTGAGTATAAATACAAAAAACTAGCTCATTTTACAATCTAGAATTTTGAAAAAACATTAAAATAAGAAATAATTTGGAATATCGATTATAATAATACAATCGTTTCTAAATCTATTCCGATAAAAATAAATATAAACTAAAAAAGCTCTAAGATTTAATTTAAAACAAATATATTACTTTGAATATATGAAAATGAAAAAAAAATGAAATAAACATTTATTAACCATAAATCGATTAACATATAGAATCCACACACTAGTGTAATTCTCGTTTTGGAGTGATACATAGACTAACGTCTTCTAAATAGTTCGTAGTACTTCTCGTTTTGACACTTGACAGTACAAACTGCAGAATTATTTACTCACTTGTAGTTTCGACTCGTTCGTTTTCTTGTTATCCACGGCTTTCATTCGCGATTTTACTTACTGATCCTGCTTTTTATTGACCCTTGCTTCGTTATTGGACACCGATTAATCTTACTTATATACGACTACCCGGCCTTGTTATTTGGAATACGACAGCCTATCGATTGGATATTGTCATCATGGACCGTTGTGTTAATTGTGGCGTAGCGACTGGTCGCTGTAATACAATAGGCAAACGAGTTTTACTTGACCAAGCAACTCTATTCTTTGATCATAATTAATTGATAAACAGTCAATTCTTAGTGGTTCACTGCACACATTCATTTTACATAATCTTTTATCTTTCAGGTAAATAACAACGACTATGCATGTCAAGCCTGCTGGGACTTAGCTCAAGGGGTGGTCTTAGGTAGACGATCTATAGATGAACCGAGACCAGTAGGTCACTCCACTGTTTGTCTCCGCTGTGGACGTTCGTTGACATCACAACGTGTTACTCACCAACTTGAAACTAATTCACCTCGTGAATTGAGAATTTTTAATGTTATTCGAGAATGGATTATGCCACAAACTGTAAGTTAAATCAGCTAATTTTTCTGTTTTAATTTTTAGATTTTTTCATCATTTTTATCAAATTCAATCTTGTTTAATTATTGTAGGTGGCGGAAACCAGTCGCATATGCCATTCTTGTTGGGTGTTAGCAGACAGAGCTGCTGTTCATATGATTTCTGGGCCATCAACCTCTAGACAAAATACCATGCCTCAAATACAACCCCAGCTACTAGATACTCCAATTATACCACTGGAAGAACAATTGCAATCTCCACCTACGCCTCAAACTATGCTAGAAGCTATGCCTGAACCTGTGCTTCAATCTCTGCCACAATCTAAATCGACTATTGTGTTACCAGACTACATGAGGGCTATTGAAACAGAAAGTAGGTGTTTTATAGAAGGATGTCACAGAACAGAAAGGCATAGAGTTCCTCTTTCCACAAAAAAGATGTTACTCAATCGCTATAATTATTATGTACCTGAAAACAATACCTGAAAAGATTCTTCTTCCTCCTTATGCCTTAATTTTTAAAGTATTGATGATTTGGAAGACCATGTTATACATACTTGGATTGGGTTGAATAAAGTACAGTTTAATCAAATATTTAATGAGGTTCCTCAGTTAACGGAAGTACCTAGAGGGTCTGTTGCTTTGGCTGCTTACTTAATTAAACTAAGGACAGGTGACTCTAACGATAGATTGTCATCATTATTAAAAGTGTCCAAACGAACTCTGGAAAAATGGTTGGAAGAAATAGGCAAGAAATTAAAGAAAGAAATCTTTCAATACCGAATGCTTTGTTTGGAGATTTTGAAGATGAAAATAGGCCTATTCACAATCAAGCTTGTACACTCCTGCATCTCTCCTACATCCTATATATGTCCTATGTAGGAGTGAATGTGGTCTCTCTTATATAGGACAAACTAAAAGATCAATAAAAACCCGCGTTAAAGAACATATAGCTGATGTGAAGAATCGACGCTCCGGGAAGTCTGCAGTCTGTGAACACGTACAGGATCGCCCCCGTCACTACATCAGATTTGATAGACCGCAGATCCTCGCTAAAGAACACCAATTCCTTCCAAGGATGATTCGCGAGGCTATTGAAATCAAAAAACATCCTAATTTCAATAGAGAAGATGGCTGGGTGCTACCATCTGCTTGGGATCCTATAATAAATAAAATTAAATCCCAACCCAAGCATACAACTGCAAGACTTCAAGATACCATAAGTTCATACTGCATAGATTGGAACAAAAGTTAAATTTTAATCTATGGTAACCGCGGTTAACTATGACATATGGACGTTGAACATCTCAGTCCTGCCCGTGACCATGAGTGCTGTAAAGCGTTCGAAACGTCGGGTATTTAAAAAGTTAAAATATACGCGATAAATTCCGTAAAAACTAGTATTATTTCAATGTGTAGTATTCGCGTAAATATAAGAAATCATTATATTTTATGCAAGGTGATGCTTTCATACTGGATAGGGGCTTTCGTGATTCATTACCTATATTAAACCAATGTGGGTACAGAATTTACGTGCCTGCTTCCTTAAGGGAGGGTGAAACACAACTATCAACTAGTGAAGCTAATAATTCGAGAGCAGTCACCATATGCCGTTGGGTTGTGGAGGTGGTCAATGGAAGATTCAAACGTGATTTTAAATTGTTAAGACAAAATTATTCTAATACAATGGCAAAAAAAATTTGTGTTAGATTTTGAAGTGGCTGCTGCTCTTTTAAATGCTTTTCACCCTCCCATAGTAGACCGTGGAAACGAACTAGCCCATTATATTATAAGAAATAATTACAATAAGCGCAGGGCTGATTTCCAAACAATAAGTATCCAAAATGACAATTTGAACGATTTTCCCCAGCTTACTTATAGTGAACTTATATTAATTTCGTTAGGTACGTACCAATTGAAGCAGGCACGTTCTTACTATGGTGAACACAAGAGCAAATGATGTTTATGTAATTGAAGTGTGCATGGAGGCTAGCGGCAGTCTATTGCGAGAGCTGTCTGTTTCAAATACCTCATGGCTGCTTGGAGGAAGAATAAATTCAAGGCACATTAGCCGCAAAATATACTTTGTATACATATTGGTTGACAGCTCTCGCAGCGGCCGAGAATCTATTCTTCAATATTATTGTAATTGTATTGTAGGGAATATATAATGTCAATTATATGGTACCTTAGTTGGGCAAGGTATCAGGACAATATAATGCCGCCTGCGCAGTTCCTTGATGATATTTTAATAATTATTGATGACGATTAAAGTAGCTAAAAAAAAAGTATTTTTTTTAAATAACCACCCTACTCCTGTCTGGCTGAATTAGGTAGATATAGAGAATTAGGTAAGTAGACAGATATGTAATTGAGTCATATTAATGTTTGCTTAAAAAACCTACCAAAGTCAAAAGTGTCTGGTTCGATTTCTAATTATCCTTTTTTTGGTATAAAAATTATATTTGTGAGAATAAACAAATTGCCTGAGTGTTCTCGAAGTGTAGCCAGTTTGGTTGAATATTTATTTACCACTTGAATTACAAGAAAGCTTGGAACAGTTTATAATATAAAAGCTGATGTTATTTCAGCAAAACATCACAGGCGAAGTAAGTAGGCATTTACCTCCGCTTACGCTTATAATATGAGAATTTATAAATATAATTATTCTTTAAAGATTTTACCACCTTTAATACTTGAAGAATATTTATTTACTAGTTAAATAACTATATTATCTACAGTCTGAAATCGACTGTTACAATGTAGGTAAAATATAACCTCACTGTCACTTAATCTTAAATAACTCAGCTCCTGGATTGACAAATCTTTCCAAATTTTCAACTGTGGATTGTTTATATGTAAGCTTTCAAATGATCTAACTTTCATGTTGTTAACATGTTTGAGATTGTTGTCACTTGGTGAAACTTCATCGTATTTCAATAGGACTCACATGTACTTTTTTTACATATATTTTGGTATATTCATTGTAAAACCGACCGGTTTTAGATTACGTAACATCAGGGAATATAAGAAATAAGATTTTACCTTAACTTATTTAAAATGAAATCAATACAACATAACAATATTCATAAGTATTTCCCGGACTCTTCCGTTATTAATTTTTTATTAGTAATTTTTTAAAGTTATTAATTTTTGTTCGGATCCACACAGTATGAACTTATAATATCTTGAAATCCTGTAGTTGTATGCTTGGGTCGAGATTTACTTTTATCAATTATAGGATCCAAGCAGATGGTAGCACCCAGTCATCTTCTCTATTGAAATTAGGATGTTTTTGGATTTCAATTGCCTCGCGAATCATTTTAGGAAGAAACTGGTGTTCTTTAGCGAGGATTTGTGGTCTATCAAATCTGATGTAGTGACGGGGGCGATTTGGTACGTGTTCACAGAGCCGTCCGGGAGCGTCGATTCTTCACATCAGCTATATGTTCTTTAACGCGAGTTTTAATTGATCTTTTCGTTTGTCCTATGTAAAAGAGACCACATTCACAATCAAGCTTGTATACTCCTGCATCTTGCAGAGGGATATTACACTTGACTGATGGTAAAAACTAATCAATCTTCTTCGGCGGCATTTTTTGTAGGACAGGGTGACAAATGTGCACACAGTCCACCTGATGGTGCCTAAGTGTTTGATGTGGCCCATAGACATCTACATCTATCCTCGATTAAGGATTAAAATGCAGATGCGTTGTCACCCCTGAGCACTAAGACTTTACAAGGCACGGGTTCGGCCACAAATGGAATACTAATCCCATCTATGGGTCGGGGCTCCCCAGTACCAGGTCCTTCCACCTTACCGCATCCAGTGCAGAGCGACTCGAATCGTAGACGACCGAGTCCCATCCGATAGGCCAGATCCATCTGCGCTGCGAAGAGTTGTTGCATCCCCTTGTATTTTCCATCGCATTTACCACGGGAAATGCTTTGAGGAATTGTACGGATTAATTCCAGACGCCAAATTCACATACACACATCGCGTCAAAATTTACGATACCATCCTCAACATCTGAATGTTTGGCGGTTCGCCATTATGCGTTTTAGTAGGAGTTTTCTTCCTCGTACAACTTCTCTGTAGAATTGTTTACTACTGGCGATCTTTCCGGGCCGATGCGACTTAGAGACCTTCAGGAAAAGAGTTTACTCCTTTCTATAAGGCCGGCAAAGCATCTGCAATTTCCCTGGTGATGCAGTTATTCATGAGCCGTGGTAGTCACTTACTATCAGAAGAGCAGCATGTTCTTTTGCCCCCTCTTCTATAAGAAAACAAAAATTAAAGGGGCTCCCCTACTAGAAACTTGTTTTTTTTTTAGGCTTTTGCTCGAACTTAATAATGGCAACATGTAGACATTTGAAGTTCTCATAGAGTTCATTTTGAAATATTCGCTAAAAAACTTAATAATGAAATAAAATTATATTTAAAAATTAAAGGGGATCCCCATACAGGAGACGTGTATTTTCTTTTACAAAAGTATTTAACAGAACCTACATAGTATTAAATCTTCATGCGCGAGCTCGACTCGCACTTGGCCGGTTTCTTATAGACATTTGCTAGAATCACTATCCAAGTACTTGACAGATACCTGAATTCCAAACTTTAGTCAACCCTATTTGTATAATTTCTTAGTAAATTATTATAGTACGTTGTATAATAAAGAGTAAAACTGGACACAAAACATATAAAAAGTTTCATTTATTAGTTGAATACTTTTTACCATTACTTTAGTAATGGCGGTATTTTCTGCAGATATAATATTATAATCTATGTATTTATGAACGTTTGTGAGTAATTAATTTTTTGATTTCTTAAACCAAGTCCGGCCCAAAAAATATTGAAGCATGTAGTAACTAATGAGAGCCTGCTAATGAGAAATAATTATAATTATTTCTCATTAGCAACGTTTTCACAAACTGAAATAAAATTACTTTAGCTCGGCGTTTCCGCTTAATTGAAAAAGTTTCGAGACATTGTTCAAGAAATATACCTAACCTAAAATTCTTTGACGGTCGCTAACTTGACGTACCAAACAATTTCAGTTGCGTTATTGTTCAGATGTTAATCAAGTTTTAAACCAATATTTCACGCAGCAGTCATTAAGTCGTTAAGAAAATATAACTTTACTCTGAACTTGACCGAGCACATAGACATTTTATTTGAAATAACTTTGCGGCACTTACTCCTGAGGTCGAATTTCGTTTTCTGTGCATTATGTATGTTTTAACCATATATTTAAAGTAATATAACTGGATTTATATTAGCTATAATGAAGAAAAAATTATACATTTAGACACATAAAACGACAGATATATTTGCAAATAGTGTTTTACTATCCGGTAGTGTTTATAAACCAAAACTTGTTATTTTATTTGTTCAGGCGCCGATATGATAAAAGCAAAACAATCGTTACTCCATCGAATAATATTGTGATAATGTACATAATGAAGCTTAATAAGTATAAATAGAGCTTCGATTACATTCACTATTTGTCATTTTTTCCAATTTCGTTTCGATAGTTTTACATTAGAGCACAGAAGAAAATGCCAAAAAGTAGGTACTTCATTTTATCAATCCATTACAACCTAATTACGAAAAGTCTAGAAAACATCGCTAAAAATTCGTTAATTCGAAAAAAAACTCTACTAATTTTGATAAGGCTAAAGTATTAAGTTATACTGAAAATACATGGAGTATATATTGTAGGCTATACCTACAATATTATTGTTATGGGTTTGTTATAAGTTTGTCCTTGCGGAAATTTATGTATTTTTTTTTATAGAAGAGGGGGCAAACGAGCATACTGTTCACCTGGTGTTAAGTGACTACCGCCACCCAAGATCAACCGCAACACCAGGGGAATTGCAGGTGAGTTGCCGGCCCTTTAGAAAGGAGTAAGCTCTTTTCTTGAAGGTCCCCAGGTCGTATCGGCCCGGAAAAATCGTATATAATATTAAACGCTTCCAAGATACACATGAAAATCGTAGAGGTAAAATGCTCATATCCTTTACTTTTCATACCAACAGGTTTGGATAACTGCAATCGAAGAGTTCATAATTCAAATTAAAATGCTAAACTATAAATAATTTAAAACTAAAGGTAGCCGTGGTACTGTGAATACACGAAACGTGGAAAATACAAAATAAGTTAATAAACCAGATAAAATCCATGAAATCTAGTCTCATTTAATTGTATAGTGTTAGCGAAAATATAAGAAATCATTAGGTTTAATAATTTCTAAAGTCCTCATAATCCCTATAAATCCATAAACAGTTCACAGCTGGACATGTATGAGTTCAAATTTCCTTTTCAAAGATTTTGAATAGTAGAGAAACTTGTAAGCAAAATACGTTGCTTAAATACTCCTACACTCACACACAATGTTAAACGAAAATTTATATGCCGATGGTTGCAAAACAAATTTCTAACAAGGGGATTTGTATGTGCATTGTGTATTTTCTGGAATATAGCACTAATTAATTGAGATTGAAACAAAGCTTTGGGCGATGCTAGGATAGACACGGCGGCATGAAAATAACTCTTTAATTTTCAGGTATTTGTTATCCTTGTATTTTAGCATGATGATCATTTAATACAGAAATCCAAATAGTTTTTGGTTTCAAATATAAAGATTTCTTATATTTATTCCGACAATAATTTTAGGACATTTCGTTTCATTTGAGTTAATTTTCACATCGGAGCGTCAAACGCCTCAGTCCTTCCATGAATATAGGTGTTGTAAGGCACTCAAAACTTTATAAATTAGTAATAAAGTTTAGCACGATAAAATCTGTAAAAGTATTAAAGATGTTAAACATTAATTAGGTATGATCCACATAATAAAATGATGTGTCTTATCTAGTTTGGGGAGCACCTTCTGCCCTTCCTCGATTGCGTGCACTACCACTATCGCCGTCACCACTTATCCCAGAACCACTATTACCATTCTATGACCATTACCGACAACACTACACCACTGTTGATAATACGACACGTATATCGCCTTTAAACGAAACATCCTCAGGTAAAATAGACTTTGCCGTGGCTGATCGCCAAGAGCTTAACTGCTGAGGAAAGTGTTAGCTGACAAGGAAAGTGAAAAGAAGAGGGAGAGCGGGAAGTGTTTTTATATAGTATAGTTATTTTTTTGTTGGATACTGTGGCCTTAGTTGTAAAATACCTTCGAGATTCAAATCAATTAAAATCAATGTTATGGGGTGGCCAGCGCACTCGTTTGAAATAAACCCTTTAAAGCACGTATGGAATAAGTTTGGAAGACAAATTAAGAAATGAAATCATGCCCCCGCTAATTTGAGAGGTCTTAAAAACGCATTACAGGAAGAATGGAACGCAAACACTTAAGGTTTTATTAATAACTTGATTAGAGTATGCCAAAGAGACTGAAAGCAGTTGAAAAGGAGCGCCGGACATCGGGTAAATTATAGACGTCCGGTACTCGCATACGGTGTTGGGGGGAGGGGAGAGGGGAGGGTGTCATGAGAAGCCTTCCCCTGTTGCGGAAATGTATAGTTTATGAGTAATAATATTTTTTGTAAAATTAAGACCTCACTTTTTTATAGTAATAATGTCCTCCAGATCGAATCTCGGTCACGGCGGCCAGCTTCAACGGAGACTAGCCATCGGCGCAGAACAGGATTATAGTGCCCAAGTGTATGCGCAAGCACAGGTGCACTCTCTATTCCATCACTCTCATATTGCGATGGGACGGTAAACCGACACGACCGGAGAGATCAGGTTCAGGACCAGCGGCTTTACGTGCCTTCCGAAGCACGGGTGTGATATACACTTCCTGATTCCGGGCAGCTACTGAGAATTTCTTGACGGAAAAACTCAATAATTGATTTTTTGGCCCGACCTGGGATTCGAACCCAGGACCTCAAGATCAGCAGTCACACTACTACAACGACTAGACCAACGAGGCAATTTTTATATAGTTGTTGGGAGAGGGTGAGGGGAGGGGTGGGGGTCATGGGAAGCCCCCCTACCCTTCCCCTGTTACCTGCATAGTTTATGAGTAATATTTTTTTTGTAAATCATAACCTCACTTTTTTATACAGGAATATTGACGCAAAGTTACTTCTGCAACGGGTTCGGCACTGCGGGAAGTGCAGCTCCTTCGCCTTTCCGTAGCAAATCGCAGGCACCTAAGCGAGCCGAGCTGCTGAGCCACTCGCACGGTACACGTATCCCATGTAATTCGTGTGCATTTTCTTACTATTATTTTTGTTTTTAGTTTTGTAACGCTTGTCTATATTAAACTATTAAGCGCACTGTCATAAAGACTTGGATGTATGAGCTACTACACCTCTGCCTAATAAAAACCTCAAAAATTAATAATACCAGGGAATAAGATGAAAGTGAATTACTTTACAAAATGTTTTCAAAATTATGAAGTGTCCGTTCTATCGAAATAATTGTAACGTAGGTTATTTAAAAAAAAACTAGTAATTATTGTAAATATTTCATACTTGTTGATTCACAGGCCATTGTTTAGAGTGTTTCTATTGACTCAATTATAACCTCAAAATCTGAAAGTGTTTTGAATTTTATAGAATTCTCAGAAGTGTCCCTAGTTTTAATTTAGTTTCAATCGAATATATACATTGTTTATAACACAAAAAGTGAATTCACCTCCCTTTCGGTTCTTAGGCCTACGATGTCCATCAGTAAACATTAACAACGCAGTCAGTTCGAATTCGATCGAAGCACAGCCAAGCCAAGAAACATCATTTGTTATACCATGAATCAAATATTTATCCACACTTAATATTATAAATGCGAAAGTGTGTTTGTTTGTTTGTTTGTCCTTCTTTCACGTCGCAACAGAGCGTCGGCATGGCATGATTTTTTGTGTGGGGATAGTTCGGTGGCTGTAGAGTGGCATAGGTTACTTTTTTCCGCGGAAAAACATCTCATTCCCGTGGGAAAATAGAATATGTTGCAAAAGTTTGTCCTTCTTTCACGTCGCTACAGAGCGTCGGCATGGCATGAATTTTGGTATGGGGATAGTTCGGTGGCTCTAGAAAAACATCTCATTGCCGTGGGAAAATAGAATATATCCCACGGGAATAAGATATTTTTCTGCGGAAAAAAGTAGCCTATGTCACTCTATAGCCTCATTCCCGTGGGAAAATAGAATATGTTGCAAAAGTTTGTCCTTCTTTAAGATCGGCATGACGGTATGGTGTTCTGTAGAGTGACATACATTTTTTCACAGAAAAATTCTCCGTGGGAAAATAGAATATGTTCAAAATTAAATTCAGCTAGGTGGCGCTACCGGGATTCTACAAGACGAACGACGGTACGGTGGACGAACACAGAAGGTCATAATATCTGAATTATTATGTCTTTTTACCAAAATTAAGATAAAAAATGTATGGACCTGTATTTTTCCACAAAGGACCGGGAAGAGAGAGATAAAAAACAAAAAAATCATCAGCTGATTTTTTTCAAACGTTTTGGTGCATTGTAATTCAGAGTATAGGCGATAACCTCGCAAACGATATTAAGTAATCCGTTGATGCTCTGCCTACCCCGCAAGGTTTACAGGCGTGATTATAAGTATGGATCAGAATAACTATCACCACCTGTAACGCTTTCACCCTTAACTATTACTTTACTGTGGTAGAAAGAGTTCGTAGTAAGCCTTATATTAATAAGCCTTAGTAATATTTATTGAACGGAAATGAATACAGTTCTTATATGTGGTTATGAATGAATCGGTATTACAATAAGAAAAATTGTACAAAATTATAGGATTTTGCGGGAAAATATTTTTTAAGAGTTCTTATTAACTAACGTATACATAGCTTAAATTGATTCTGCTAGATGTCGTTACTAGGTTTTTAAAACGCGGTAACGAAATGTTTCCTGACATGTACTTAACTCCCGCCGTTGAGCCGCGCGTCAACTTATAGTGCATACGGTACGCTTAAATTATTTCTATTTCGTAGCTTATTCGACTACCTGCTTTCGATTTCAGTTGTTTGTTATTTGCTTTGTGATTTGGTTAAGGATGAATGGATTTATATTGGCTTTCGTTTTCTGATTTGTGTATTTTCTTGGATCGGTTTTGTTGACTTGATTGGTATACCTTTATACATATTTAGACTCTGGCTTTGATTTTGGATTTTGTTTTTCGTTGTTTTAGGTTGTTTAACAATATTTCAAAGGAATATTAATAGTATAGATAGTGTATACCTATACACTTACTTCTTTTTTCGTTGGTTATATTTATATTGACTACTGCTTTCGATTTCGGTTTTCTGCGATTTATTTTGTGATTTGGTTTAAGTTGATTTAATTTTTTTTTGCTATCGTTTTCGGCTTCGTGTTGTGTCTTGAACTGGTTTTGTTGTTTTGATTTAAAAAATATTTTAAAGGAATATTTATTCCTTTTAGATATTTTGGAT